TGTATAGCACTCGGGTATATCATTCTGTACAGTACAGTATAACACTCAGGTATATAACTCTGTACAAAACAGTGCATCATAGCACTCGGTGATGTATTTTTTTGTTAATGTGGAATACAGCATAGCATTCAGATAGATCATTTTAAACAAAAAAAGTACAATGCTTGGGTTTATCATTTTGAAATACTTTATTTATTCTGTATTCAACCATACAAAAAGTGTGTTAAGGGTTGGCAGCTAAACACATTACGTTGTGGATGGCTGGTTGTAGGTTAATTGTTTTGATTTCATGGTAAAGTCTTTAAAAGCAAATAAGATGTATTTAGTTCTTTATGGTCACAGGGAATATAAGGATGTCCAAAAATAATTGTTGTGAAAGATAAAGCGACATACATGTTGAATTGATTTGGCTTCCAAGTTAAAAAAATCACTGGCTTATGATATCATAAGTTACTTTTACTGGAGAAAACATGCAATTGTATTTGGGCTTCCCTTTGTTGGTGTATTGATAGAGCAAAAAAGACTTGAATAAAAGAAAAATTGATAAAAGGTCCCTAGCAATCAAATAAGAGATACCTGGTACTGTATTTTTTGTTTTTAAGTTATTTACACATTTTATGTCTAGATGCCTGTATATCTGGTGTATTTATGGATTGACCTTCATTTTGACGGCATATATGGTAGTATGAACGCAGTTGGCAACGAACATATTCTATGGTAGGAGTTAGGGATCCATAAACAAAATGTTACATCAACAACACTATTTGTTTTCTTTTCATCGTTTTTTTTATTTATTTTTTTATTAAGGAATTGTGTTTTAAACCGTAGGTGATCACAAGTACAACACTAGAACTGGTATTACCTGAATCAACATTGCTTTGCTTCATTCACAGTTTGGACCCCACCAACAGTCGGGCACGTGAGGGGATGGAGAGGGTGGAGAAACAGAGTGACATGGGGCTGATGGGTCTCAGTCTGGAGAACTCTTATGATGTTGATGATATAGAAGGCAGTGACAACGATGTAAGCGTATTTTCCATAAACAAGAGATTGCTTAATAAATATTCGTAATTAGGATAGAACTTAGATTTTAGGATTTTGTGATTCCTGATATTAATGGATATTTATAATAATTTAGATTTAAAGTTAGATTTAAAGATTATTAGGTTTTTAAGTTCTTTACTGTTGTTTATTCCCCCCCCCCCCCTCAATAAAAAGAGTAAAAAGAGTAAAGTTGTGTTCAAGGAATTTTGCTCAGTGATTGCCCCTCACAAACAAACAAAAAAACAATGAAGGAAATTTGCTCAGAATTGCCATACTTGAGCTGTTATTTCAAGAAAGATCCTGTATTAGATAATTAGAGAATGATTCGTTCGTCTCCTGTACTTGTGTATGTAGAGTTTAAACAGCCCATCATTTGTAGGTCGACTCTGTACTCTACATGAGGATGTAGAACACATGGTCAACATGTACACTTCCTCTACAAAATCAGGCATCAGTTGAAATAGATAGATTCTTTGTATTTCACCAGTTAGATTTACATAGATATGTAAACAACAACATTTAGTTGAAGGTGAAGATTTCTAGATGATTATACAGGGTTCTGTTTTCACTACATAGAGTAGAAATGATTATACAGGGTTCTGTGTACACTACATAAAGTAGAAATGATTATACAGGGTTCTGTGTACACTAGATAACGTAGAAATGATTATACAGTGTTCTGTGTACACTAGATAAAGTAGAAATGATTATACAGTGTTCTGTGTACACTACATAAAGTAGAAATGATTATACAGGGTTCTGTGTACACTAGATAAAGTAGAAATGATTATACAGGGTTCTGTGTACACTAGATAAAGTAGAAATGATTATACAGGGTTCTGTGTACACTAGATAAAGTAGAAATGATTATACAGGGTTCTGTGTACACTAGATAAAGTAGAAATGATTATACAGGGTTCTGTGTACACTAGATAAAGTAGAAATGATTATACAGGGTTCTGTGTACACTAGATAAAGTAGAAATGATTATACAGGGTTCTGTGTACACTAGATAAAGTAGAAATGATTATACAGGGTTCTGTGTACACTAGATAAAGTAGAAATGATTATACAGGGTTCTGTGTACACTAGATAAAGTAGAAATGATTATACAGGGTTCTGTGTACACTAGATAAAGTAGAAATGATTATACAGGGTTCTGTGTACACTAGATAAAGTAGAAATGATTATACAGGGTTCTGTGTACACTAGATAAAGTAGAAATGATTATACAGGGTTCTGTGTACACTAGATAAAGTAGAAATGATTATACAGGGTTCTGTGTACACTAGATAAAGTAGAAATGATTATACAGGGTTCTGTGTACACTAGATAAAGTAGAAATGATTATACAGGGTTCTGTGTACACTAGATAAAGTAGAAATGAAAAAATTCTGAGTGATTTAACTCCAACAACTAAGAGCTACTCTTTGATATTTTGCAGGGAGACTTTGACAATAGTAACAGCGACGTTGAGAGTACGTGGTCCGAGACAGATTACACCTAATCCTCAGCCAATGTGTGTGTGTGCACGTGAATGAAAATATGACGCTGGAATGACTTAGACCAGTACTGGATTCCTTCCAGGTCAGCCTACTGTGTCCGGCAGTAGATAGCTGACTTTGTTGTGTTCAGTGACTTATGCTACAACAAACAATCCCACTTCATTATTGGTGTGTAATTCAGGAATTGACTTCAAATTTAAAGTAGCTAGAAGCTGTTCACATATCGAGGAATTTACAAGCATCCTTCCTATTGGTGAGATTCAATATGTTTGGAGTTTATCACCAAAATCATCGTTGTTTTCATGAAGGAAACTGGACTGATCTGTGGCAAAAAAAGAAATTACAAAGTATGTGTTCGCTACAATGACCGAGTAATTGTGTTTTCAAATGAAAAATACTCATGGTTGATAAAGTAAAAATTTGTAAACAGTTTGTTTCTCCATAAGGGTTAAAGGTAGACTGAATTTTTGATTCTATATCTCTTAAAATATTTATGTTGCATATACGTATATATACTCTCAAGTTTAGGAGGTTAAATCTTTGGCATTAACAAAAAATGAATATTTAATGTAGTTGTTGAATTACACAGAAGTGAGTGTCAACATGGACACAGTTTTCTAAAATATCCAGCCATGTGACATCGAGATTTCCTGTGATGGAAAGCCATGTAAGATATATGCAAGACCACACACTTGTGTTTTTCTAACGAATCAGAAAGCACAAGATTATTGCGCGAACGAATATATTCATGAGTGCGCGGAGCGCACAAGTGAATATATACGTCCGCGCAATAAATTAGCAAAGTCTGTTTAAGATTTAATACAAAAGATTTGAACTCTTTTTACACTGTACATATGAGTCTGGGAGACAGATATTACATTTCCTGACAACCAGACACATTAAACTTAACCAATTATCCTGTTGTGTTATGTTAACTTATTGTATTGTATGAGTACAAATGTACCTTTAAGGATATGACATGTGATTTATATATTTCATATTGATACACTATATATATTGAAGTTCAAATTAAGTTGTAATTTGTTTGTGTGTTGTGTAAGGACATTGTGTACGTTTGTAAGGATACAGGTATGCCAGTTAGTGTTTGTGAGTAGTGTGGGGACATTGTGTACGTTTGTAAGGATATGGGTATGCTAGTTAGTGTTTGTGTGTAGTGTGAGGATATTGTGTACATTTGTAAGGATACAGGTATGCCAGTTAGTTTTTGTGTGTTGTATGAGGACATTGTGTAAGTTTGAAAGGATATGGGTATGCCAGTTACTGTTTGTGTGTAGTGTGAGGATATTGTGTACATTTGTAAGGATACAGGTATGCCAGCTAGTTTTTGTGTGTTGTATGAGGACATTGTGTAAGTTTGAAAGGATATGGGTATGCCACTTATTGTTTGTGTGTAGTGTGAGGACATCGTGTACGTTTGTAAGGATACAGGTATGCCAGTTAGTTTTTGTGTGTTGTATGAGGACATTGTGTATGTTTGAAAGGATATGGGTATGCCAGTTATTGTTTGTGTGTCGTGTGAGGACATTGTTTACGTTTGTAAGGATACGGGTATGCCAGTTATTGTTTGTGTGTAGGGTGAGGACATTGTGTACGTTTGTAAGGTTATGGGTATGCCAGTTAGTGTTTGTGTGTTGTGTGAGGATATTTTGTACGTTTGTAAGGATATGGGTATGCAAGTTAGTGTTTGTGTGTAGTGTGAGGACATCGTGTACGTTTGTAAGGATACAGGTATGGCAGTTAGTGTTTGGGTGTAGTGTGAGGATATTGTGTACATTTGTAAGGATACAGGTATGCCAGTTAGTTTTTGTGTGTTGTATGAGGACATTGTGTAAGTTTGAAAGGATATGGGTATGCCAGTTATTGTTTGTGTGTAGTGTGAGGACATTGTGTACGTTTGTAAGGATACGGGGATGCCAGTTAGTTTTTGTGTGTTGTGTGAGGACATTGTGTACGTTTGTAAGGTTATGGGTATGCCAGTTAGTGTTTGTGTGTTATATGAGGACATTGTGTACGTTTGTAAGGATACGGGTATGCCAGTTAGTTTTTGTGTGTTGTGTGAGGACATTGTGTACGTTTGTAAGAATATGGGTATGCCAGTTAGTGTTTGTGTGTTGTGTGAGGACATTGTGTACGTTTGTAAGGATACGGGTATGCCAGTTAGTGTTTGTGTGTTGTGTGAGGACATTGTGTACGTTTGTAAGGATACAGGTATGCCAGTTAGTGTTTGTGTGTTGTGTGAGGATATTTTGTACGTTTGTAAGGATATGGGTATGCCAGTTAGTGTTTGGGTGTTATATGAGGACATTGTGTACGTTTGTAAGGATACGGGAATGCCAGTTAGTTTTTGTGTGTTGTGTGAGGACATTGTGTACGTTTGTAAGGATATGGGTATGCCAGTTAGTGTTTGTGTGTTATATGAGGACATTGTGTACGTTTGTAATGATATGGGTATGCCAGTTAGTGTTTGTGTTTGTGTGAGGACATTGTGTAAGTTTGTAAGGATATGGGTATGCCAGTTAGTGTATGTGTGTAGTGTGAGGATATTGTGTACGTTTTTAATGATATGGGTATGCCAGTTAGTGTTTGGACTTGCCGAAACAGTGTCCGCTCGATATCTCGAGTAATTATTAACGGATTAACTTCAAACTTCACAACAAGGTTAATTACCATGAAACCTCGGACAAGTTCGATAACCGCCATTATCCGACCATAATTT